CCCCCCCCCCCCCCCCCCCCCCCCCCCGGGGAACCTACCCTCTATCAGGGCTGCAGTTATTATTATGTGGTAATTTTCTCTGAGGCAGCACAGAGAATAACTACCCTCTACCAGGGCGACTGATAGAGAATAACCATGAATTCAACCAAATACACATCTGTGAATGTGTGTCTGTGAGTGAAAATCAATGTCGGTTACCCAAAAATTACTGACCGATTTGGCAGAATATATACATGTATTATCCAATACTCAAGTTACTCTACCTGTCTCAAAAAGGAATTGCTTAGTTGGCTCTACGAGCCTCTCTTCAATTATTAATCTCATTATGTTGCAATTTAAATTTTATATTTACTTAAGGTGTTCACAGGGTAAACCAACATTAGGTTTGATTTCATCGCTTAGATAGCTGGTGAAAACAGATAAGTCACTCTGTCAGTACAATTCAAATATAATTAAGTTATTTTCAATCTGAATAATTAGCGTACGACGATGTAATTAATTAAAAAGTGTCATAGTCAAACAATTCTTATGTGTGAGTGTGTGAGCGAATGCTTTTCCCTTCTTTATTTTTGTATTGTCATGTATTCGTGATGTATTGTGTCAATAAAAAAATATGAAAAAAGGAAAGAAAAAATCCATCTGTGGCCCTGGTAGAGGGTACGCACTTGTTATTTATTGTTAATTGTAACAATTAAAATGCAAACTAAGATCAATTATAATACAAGGAGCGGGCCTATTTAAATTAATAATAATAATAATAATAATAATAATTGTGGGTCTGCCGTGCTATGATGTGGGCTAATGTGATTTGCAATGGCGCCTCTCTGAGAAATTACTACCAACACATATTTTCTGGTTTCTGTGCACTGGAGAATTTTTATTGTGCACACCCGGACTCCATACATGTAGTTGAAGTACCTAATGGTAATAATACTTTATTCCAAAATGTTGTTATGATTTACTAAATAAGTGATTATGAAAATGAAATATTTTGTTTTAAAACTATAACAGTGTCGTGTTATACAACCTTCCGTCCGAGAAGAGTTTTGCTCCGTCCAAAGCAATAACGAAGAGTAAAAGTAATAATACGTTTATACTACAAGGTTTTACTTCCCTCAGAAAGACTTTTCATGAAGAGGAGAGGGTAAATGAAAAGAATAAAGGTCATTACACTAGACTTCGTTTGCATGACAGTCACCGCTTTCGGTTTAGACCAAGTCCTGTAACTCTTCATCCTGCTATCTGGGCGGTGTTGTGTTGGTTGTGCGTTTGTTGGTTGAGTGTTCTTTCCGGCGGTGGCTGACTTCTACTACGGGAGGTTTACACTGACTTGCAGGGGTCGTGGCGGCCGCATCCCAGTTGACGGATTTAGCACCTGGTTTTGATAGCACCTGTTTTTGAGGATGAGACAAAGAATCTTCCACGTCTTTGTGTATTAAGTATAAAGTAATAAAGAGTCTGTTCTCCACAAGAGATCGGTTCGCAAGTCTTTGATTACCATGCCAATAAGTGAACCGGTGGTAGTATATTTACAAGGACGTTATGCATAGGAGCGTCTATCTTCCCACCTCCTGGCCAGCATACCCCCTCCCCTCTAGACTATATATTATACATAGGAGCGTCCATCTTCCCACCTCCCTGGCGAGCACACCCCCTCCCCTCTAGACTATATATTATACATAGGAGCGTCCATCGTCCCACCTCCCTGTCGAGCACACCCCATCCCCTCGCCACCATTGGTCAAGATTCTTATACCACGTGGGTTTTCTCTTTCCCACCTCGTGCATCTTCCTGCACAGGCGGCACCAGAAGAACGTGTTCACCGAGTGAAAGGAGCTCTTCCAGCGGAAATACTCGTTGTAAAGATCGTCATTTTTGTCGAGTTTGTGCAGATATTCAGCCAAAACCTTGGGGCTTTTGAAGTCATCCACGTTGATGTAGGAGTGCGGAGGTGCTGCCCTCTTGTAGTCGTCTGGGCGACCCCCCATCGTGATTGGTATGATGTCATGCCTAAAAAGGAATTCGTTAAATACTTGTTATAGGCAGTTTCACCCAATGTCTTCTCACGTTTACAGACAGAGATGGAAGTATGTGAGACAGAAAAGGGTGGGGCGTAGAATGGCGGACAGGGTTAAACAAAGACAATTAGCACGTAGGACGGACAAAAAGGGTAAAAATGAGAAAAAGGGCGGTACATACAAAACAACCACAATAGTTAAAGGGAATAAAATCATTAGAACCTTACATTTTATGCAAATATAATGTACTCGTAGGTACTCTGCAGAGGATAGTCAGGGAAGTTTTTGCAGTTTTACCGCACATGTGCGCTGTTATGCTTACTAGTATACAAAAAAAAACGTTTAACATGTATCTTTCCGAATCAAGTGAAAGACGACGTGGGCAAAAATGAGATTCGTCTTTGATGTTGGCAGAAACACACGACAAGTTATTTTTCCAGCAACGATCTGTCACCTTTATCCTATAAACATTTATTGGGATCCAGATTGATTAACCTTACCCTAAACCATTCAAAAAGAACTTCTCAGTGATGTAATCTCTGCAGTTCGAATTTTCAAATGATAAATAAAACTTGTAGTCCCTGTCCAAAATATCCAGGCAATGGGGGTCTTCCTTTGAGCACGTCTTAATGCCACACCCCCCGTAAATGTCCACTGGCATGTGTTTATTTAACTCCTCTGCGTAACGTCTCCGACCGTTCCTGTCTCCTCCACAGTTGGAGACAAACCATGCGATTTTCTTAGTCTTCCCCGCTGCATAATTCTTCTTCATTGGTGTGTTGAAGGCGAAGTCTTGGCCGGTAGTCATATTACCATACGGAACATAAGAGCCGTATGGAGCCATAAGTGTGGAGTCGGTCCTGTAACTGACCGTCCAGTTGATTAGGTTGTTCAGCCCCTCCAGCCTGGGGGTGTGGTGGGGGGACTCCAGCAGGTACAGGATCCACACCTGGTGCCGGGGTTTGCGATGCCAAGGTTTGACGGCCTGGCCCATTAGAAGGATGGCGTCTGCCTTCGACGCCATTGTCCTATCCGCTGTCACGAAGCAGTTCTTAACAGGGCAGTCATCTGCGTTGAATTGTTTCTGTCCTGCTTGCATCCCCGCCGGCAATCCGGTGTACACCAGGATAAGCTTAAGTCCCGCAGCAGAGGCGGCAAGGGCGTCATTTTGGTATAAGTAAACAGTCTGCCTGCCTCCGCTATACGATTTTATATACGTCCAAATTCCAACGAGAAAACATGTCAAGGAGATGCCATACACTATCCGCTTTAAGTGGCACCTCATATGCTGCAACGATATAGTCACTCGTTAATACCAACCAGGTGTATTGAAGGCGGTGACTGAGCCCAGTGCTGTTATATTCTAGACCCACTGTAATCCTGTTACCACCACTACTCGAACTCTGAAGTGTGATCTGTTAAATGTGAAGATATATCACCCGATCAACTAGCCGTCCATGGGCTGGAGGACACACTGCTGCTCGTGGCATGCGGTCTTTTACAGAGGTGTCAATCCTTTATAACGGCGTTAATTAAGCCTCCATGTTCAACATGTCAACAAAGAGTGGAGAAATTAGGTCACGAACAGCGCGACACTGACCCAGTACGCAAGCGCATTTATCCAGGTACACAAAATTGTTTATTTCACCTGTCCCGAATTGCGTCCGCGATTCAAGCTATCGTCTACGCTGCATTCCATATGACTTAATTATGAACGGCATTGTGTAACGTTAACAAAAGAAAATAACACACACGGAAAAAGAATATGGGCGCAATTACAACTGTGTGCGTTTTCCTTGTATTTTACATATATTAATAAAATAACTCTATTCTAATCCACTCTGTTCAGACTTCAATATTTCACAGCGACCAAGCGTTCTATGCGCTGTTTGTATAACAACAATGCTACCCCGGCCACCAGGTGAAGTATTCTATTTACTTATTGAAAACCGGGGTACTGTAGTAGCGGTCGTCGCCCGCTCTATGCAGATAGGTCGGAGCGCTGTAAGGGAATCTCAGCACGTGAAGGGTTACATATGCATGCCGTACACATAAAACATTTGTACGTACAGGTATAAGACGGGGACTCCATGCACGATCAGAAGTACGTGTGACTTCAAATGACAAGGCACTAACTCAATAATGCGTCATCTAGGTAAGTGCGCCGCGTTTAAGTCACATTTATGTAACTAATGATTTACGTTAACTGCATACAATAATTATCTGTGTCACTTAGCTACTGGGCACAGGTAAATATTTAGTTCCGTGTTGGTGTATGTGCCAGTCCATGTGTATATACCCTATGAACCCGTCCGTGCCTGTGTGAGACCATCTTTACTGGATACTATCGAGGGGACTGACACCTGTGACATCTTTCTCGATGACTTAGAAGATTAGTGATAGGTTCAAGACAGAATGTTAGCTTTCTATATGTTTGTACTGCACATATTCTTTGACGAGAACTTGTGTGAGACGTCATCTAAGGTGAGCCGGATTAATCCCCCGAAACCTACTAGTATCTGTGAAATACATGTATTGTACAAAGTATGTATAGAGGCTAATAAAGGCGAGTCTGGGTGGGTGGGGGGTGGGGGGGGGGAGGGGGCGTTCCTGTACTTCGTTTTGGCTGCATCAGACATACATGTACATGTAGTAGAGTTCAGCATAAGATTTTATAATAACAAGGGCAATGACCCCACCCATCTACCAATCAGGTCAATCTTTAGCCGAGGCGGGTTTGGGCTTTCTTCTTCGTACTCTTTACAGGTCTCAGGTCAGTGCTTTGTCTTCTTTTATGAATGGAACCCGTCCTTGTGTATGGCGTCTCCCTCGTCCGCTCTGTGCGACACAGTGTGAACGCGCGCGCGCGTGCGTGTGTGTGTGTGTGTAAGGGGGTAGGATGGGAGGTAACCACTGCTATCCGCTGTCTGCGCCCAGCCTACGTTCCCCAACCCCTCCCCTGTATCACCCAGTGGTAGCCCCTAGTGCAGGGTACAGTACGCCCACTGCATCACTCCTGGGTTAAACTCAGTTATCAAGAGTAAACATCCAGAGGGCGTGGTCAGGTTAATGATTACCCAGGGGGTGTACCCAGTACTGGCCGCCAGCTAACTTTACCAACACACACGGCGTGCTCTTATCTCGCTGGGGACTATAGCACAGTTGTAGCAAATGATTGCTGGATTTAACGGCGAAGACTTGCGACAGGCTACAGATGTGTTTTAATTGTGTGTAACTGTGCCGTACAGTGAGTGTGTGCGTGTGAGTGTGTGTGTGTGTGTGTGTGTGTGTAATAAGTTAAATTAAATATAGACATTCTTTTATGTATTATATTCTGTGCATTAACGCCGTGTCTTTGCAGCGTTTTGTTGTTTCGGACATCAACACGAGAGCATCTGAAATTGCACTGTCAATTGTAAACACCACAGCTACAGAAAGAAATGTGTACCAACAATTTAACATCTACAAGGTACAAAAGTAAAATAGCACAACGAACCACAACTGCAGACCCACAGAAATGTGTGGGTCAGACCTATTATGATCTTCCTTGAAAGTTAGAATAAAAGTTTTTAACCAAACCATCTGACTCGATCTAAGCTGCCTCACTTCGCCAGATTGACAGCTAATGCAAGAATTATTAAAGACGAGGAATTGGCGTGTATTTTTACTGATACACCAGTTTGGTGAAAATGTACATAAGGATATAACTATTTTAATAGGAATGAATTCACAGTTTTAAACACTAAATTACAACCTGATAACCATAAAATTAAAATGATCTTACAATATTAAACAGTAAACTACAACATGATAAATACAAATATGTAATTGAAAATTACAGAGTAATGCAAATGGTGGATTGGAATTATGGCAAAGGCGTTCCGCTTAACCTTCTGTATAAAGCCAATGAATCTGAGGTCCTTTGAATGATACAGATAGTGGAAATTGCGATTGGTTCAACTCAATTTCATTCTTATAAAAAACGATTGTGTGAGTAACCTGAATGTTTGTTCTGTTACTTGACGACAAACTGTGTCGGGAATGTCTTGAATGTGGTAGAGAAGCTCTACCGCGGTACTTCAATGCTTGGCGAGGCGTATCTGGTAACAGTCCATTCACGGAGGAGTGAAAACCATGATTGTGTTTACACCAGTTTTATAATACTACAGAAATAGGGACATTTTTTTGCTCTGTTTAATAATTACAGGAAAAATTTATGTGGCGAAGGGAGTCACCGTGATGTTTTGAAATGGAATTTAAAAAAATAATTATGCAATAAGGCTAATACCTTGTATATAACAAGCGGTAAGTAGGGCCTTTATGACCCGGAAGGAAACGAGACAGCGATCAGCTAAACCGTCGCCGCGGACCGGAGAGATAACCACCCGGTGGGAGGGACCCTGAACACGTCGACAATTAATAACATACATGCATATATATAGTATATACCACTTAATAATATATAACCCCAGGGAGCTGGGCACTATGGCCTCTCATCTTTGGATAACACGATCTTATAACTGCTACGGAGATTCCCAGGTTCCGTGTCTGAAACTCTGCACACGGAAAAAAATTAAACGACTCCATGTTTTAACTTCAACGGAATATATTTTACTAAAATAAAAAATTCATGGTACAATTAAGGTCAAATGTAAGATTTAATCGAGACCCTTCCTCTCTTTCACGGAATTCCTTGATTTTTTATGTACAACTAAAAATGTCAATCAGATAAACCATATAAACTTTGTTTCTAATAAACTTAAACATGTTCTTTAACAAGCAGGCCTCCCTTTCATTACAAATGTATGTATATAATTAATTAAGCAACAGCTAATTAATTCTATACACACATATTCCCAGGAGACTTTCTTCATTAACCTAAAATGTCCATCCAAATATATTCAGAGACTTTCCGGAAATCACTTCCGAAACATGACCGGAAATATACATGTGCACGGTAGTTTGATATGTAGAAATTACATGTATATATGCATGCACTGGTCATTACTGGTGTCTTATCATGTCACTCATTAGGACTATATCTTATACAAGATAGAACTGTATAATAGCAATGTCTTAGTGTTCACTTGAATGGGCTGAAGACGCGCTTGGAATTTATGGAAATGATGACTGCGATATACATGAAATCGGTAAAAGCTTTCCCGTGGACCCATCATAGGCACTCAAGCTGTTTTTAATAGCAAAAACACCTTTTCTTTCTTATTTTCCGATCAAAACTTGTGGCAGTTCCTTTTTCGTCTGAACTGTTATTTTTTTCCTTTCTATTTACAGTCATTACAAACTTTTTACAGTTATTTACAAACTTGACGGTGAGTGCAGTTACCCAGTAGCCTCATGAGGAGCTAGTCACGGTCGAAGTAGACGCTGTGGTCTCTGAGGTGGACGCTCTTTGTCTGCTCAAGCAGTTACCATCATTTTCAGCACTCCCAATTGGTGTGTCAGCGTTCCAACAACGATAACGAATACACTGCATAAAAAGTTTCACCAACTCGTCTCGAAAAATCCGAGCCGACGCTACATAAAGAAAAAAGTTAGTATTGTGATTCAGCAAACTTATCAGGAACAATACTGACCATATGAAGTGATTTTCTGTGGAAGTGATACTGAAGGAAGTAAACCCATCTACGGCTACCCGGTAGATTTGGAAGATTACTAAAGGCCCAGTGATCACGACGAACGCTGTCAGTGTCGTTAACAATAGAATGTTCACTTTACTGTTCGTCGATTCCTTGCCAGCACTGCGCTGCTTTGGGCCGGACAGTTGCCGCCTTAAAGAATAACTCTTCCTCAGCTTCCACACGATAGCTACCGTCATCGCAGTAATGGCAATTGCGATTGCGAACCACAGTGTGTACTCTAAACCGGTGAATATATAAAGTAATGTTGTTGATGGTGCGTAGCATAATGTTATATTTGGAGAAGTAAGTAAGAAGATCAAAACTGCAAGACCAGAACAAGTCAGCAGAGCTTTCCGTCTCGTGCACAGAGAAGTGGCTTGGAGCGGTTTGAAGATTATTATAAGTCTCTCTACAGTTAGTGCTAATATGTAGACAAAACAGAGCAAATAGAATGCGCTTTTCAAAATAATCGCTATGACAACAAGAGCTTCACACGACAGTTTCAGTCTCCTGGTGAACACGATGCATTCCAACGACTGCTGCAGGAGACGGAGCTGGTCCGCGCCGGCAAGGAACAGGATGTAAACGAAGGTAGATTTCTGTCTAAGACTCGGACGTCGAAGAACCACCAGGAAGGTGAGGAAGTTACCAACCAAACCAATGGCTGTCAGGGCGTACACAGTGTTACAAAAACATGTCCTCCCGGTCAGCCAGCATTGCTGCTCGGAGGAGAGCTCGGCATCGTTCATGTCGCCCAAACCATACCTGCTTAGATTGCCAAGAGAGGCGCCGCTTGAGTTGCTGGTAAAATTACCAACTTCGGTCTGAATATCAACCTTATCCATTGTCCATGTGTTGCCTTCAAGTAATTGATTCCCTTCACCTTGGTGGTAGACGATGCAGTAGTAGCCGGTTTGAAAAAAAAAATTATCAAGAGTTAAATAAGTACTGCATGCATTATGTATGCCTCATCGTAGGTGTAACGCACCTTATCGCGGCACTTAATGAGTTTGTGCGATCTGATTGGTCGAGGTGAGCTGAATATAGAAATATATACCCCACCTCCACCTCCCACATCCCCGAGAGCCTCGTCTCAAGCACTGTCTCATTGACCTGCATGTGATATCATTGTGTATCTCGCCAGGAAGTGTCTGCATAACTAACAGTACCAAGGGCGCCGTAATATTAAGGCCTGATTTCTACACTAGATAATGACGCCGCAAGCGGAAAAGGAAGACAGTTAAAATGTGCTGTGTTAGACCTCTCAGGAAATGTCGGGTCTCTCTTTCAGGCCGAGAAAAACGACTTGATATCACTCTGCAGTACCTAATTCTTTTTTAAAATTTTGTTACTTTCTAATTGGTTGCACCCAACTGAACATAAAATATTTATAGTGTAAACTCAGTCATGGTATTAGGGGATGAAGCGCTTATTTAGTTTCCTGTACTTTATTTCCGGTTTTGCATTTTTACATTGCGAATGTGATAAATACAGTCATTAGCAAATAATGAATCCATAACGTATTCTATTGACGTATTGTTAAAAGTCATTAATATTATGCAAACGCACAGAGAGACATCCTGCTCTCTGTGAATTCTAACAAACCGTCAAGATCCACAAGGAATGTAATCTTTTTCATGGTTGGTACATGTATGGGAGTATCCTATATCTCTTCTGCAGATTAGTTTGGATTTTAATTAAGATCCATAATAAGAATAAAAATGGGCCGAGTGATTGTGAAAATGAGTAAAATAATGAGATGATACACTGTAATAAAAACTACTCTTCAGCGAGTTACTTATTTCATGTATTCAATTGTTGGTGATGATATACCTGTACTTATACTATACTGACTTGAACAATATTCAGTGAGGACACAGGAATAGTTAATATAACTTATTGACATGTAGAGAAGTGATACAGCGAAGCGTTAGGATCCTTAGCCAGGAAATTACAAAACCGGCCAGATATTCTGTTTTATATAAAGCTTTTCTTTTACTCCAGGACATATAAGAACAAACAAACATTTCTTGTAACAGAAAGAATTCAGATTTGTTTACCGATAAAACTTTCGTAGATAACGAACCAATTCCTAATGAAATTCCCCACATTAAAAAGTACTGATTTTCAGTTGGACTTAGTAGTAGTAGTAGTAGTAGTAGTAGTAGTAGTAGTAGTAGAAATGTCAACAGAATGAAAAAAATATTTTTCTTTTTCTGCATTAACAGCCCAGACAACAAGATGACGTCAAAACGTGCATTACCAGATGATAATACTGCGAGCAACGATGTGTTGCTAGGCAACGAATCTGACGTCACATGTGGTTGGTTTAATTGGCGACCAAAATGTCTTCAGGTAATAGTGAGTTTCATGGAATGTCAAATTTAGTATATTTTTAAGAACCATAACTTTCTGATGATCTTAATATGATACACTTTTAGGGATCGTTTTATACGCTTCAAATTATGAATGACGTGACTTGAATGTATGTGATATATTTTACTCAATATATGTTATAATATCTCGTTAGTTTGTACCCCTGACGTTTACAAGTACACTATTTCACTACCTGATAACTATCATGGGACATAACCTGAACTGTGATTACAACAAGTTAATCAGGAATTAATCTCTACTGATTGCTAGATGTTTAAAGGTTTTGTTTATTGTTATTTAATTTAATTTAATTTAATTCAACCATAATTTGGCAAACAGTCGTCAGGAATCTCTCAATGTGTTTGTATATTCTACATCACCAGGTATTTAGCTCGGCCAAGTGGCTGGTGGCCTTCCTATGCATCGCCAACTGCGCCCAGTCCATGGTGGCCGGGGGTCTCCTCTCAACTGTCATAGGGACGCTGGAGAAGCGGTTCCAACTCACGAGCACCCAGACCGGTATCATCTCGTCCAGCTACGACATGGGGACAGTCCCCGCCCTCTGCGTCATTGCCATCATAGGGAGACGAACCAACAGGCCGCGGTTCATAGCGGCTGGCCTAACCCTGGTCGCCATAGCAACCTTTATGTTCAGTCTTGGTCATTTTACAACAGGACGATATGTGTCGACTGCGGCGTCATCTGTTGACGAGAATATTTGCGTTTTGAACTCCACGTCTACTGCAGGGTGTGGCCGGGAAGAGTTGGCTGATTTCTCAGGAAAAGGATTGTCGAATTATTTTTATTTGTTCGTTTTGTCGTATTTCCTTGTTGGAATAGGGTCCTCCCCAATATATACCGTGGGTGTGACATTCATGGACGACTGTCTCACCAAGGAGAACGCTTCTTTTTGTATAGGTAGGTACGCAGGCTTTAGAATACAGGGTCGTAGGCTGCGGTGGAGCCTAGGGTGGGGAGTCCCCCCCCCCTCCAAGAGTTTTTTTGATACAATTTTGAGGTTCTCTATATAATGTATTTTAGCCTTTTCCATTCTATCATGGAAATACATACTACAGGAAATACAAACAACCTGCTTAAACTTCAACAGATAATCCAAGAATAATACGACCATGAAATATTAGTGATGGTATACATATTTAATATTGTCGGTGAAAACGCTGCCTTACATAGGCCGTACCATGCGACCACGTGAACCTTGTTATGCTTTCTCTCCTTTATAAAATGTAAAATGACCCTACTTTGTAAAAACTCAGTTACGTTTGGAGTGTGGGAAGGGAAATGACAGACGAAGTTGCCCCTCCCCTCCCCCGGTCCTGAACTGTGAGTGACAGGGATATGAAGTGGTGTTTACTTCCAGTAATTCTGATATGTTTCTTTCCCCGTGGTGTCTTTACAGCCGTATTCTACGCCACTGGTGTTCTAGGCCCGGTGCTGGCCTACATCCTTCAGGCGGTCATCGTGGAGGAGGTCTACGTGGATGCGGACGTTCTGAGCGCAGCAAGGTGAGAGTCCATCACAGTGGCGTATTTAGGGTGGTGTCGGGGGGGGGGGGGGGGTCCTGACCCTCCCTCCCCCCTCTTCGATTTCGGAGAAAATCACAGCAATGGTCCACTCTCGAAATAAGAATTTCGACTAGCTGAATCACAGTTCGAAATGGCACCATACTTTCTCTAAAATATCAAAACTTTTCGGGTCCCTTCAGCAAATATACGCTAAGGAGGGGGGGGGGAGTATCAGCTATGCATCAGCGGATCCACCGCCTTTAAATGATCCTGGATCCGCCCCTGCATCAGGGAGTAATCAATAACGCAAGCGATATCATGATATAAAGAAGGAGGCAGTTCTACCTCCCCTGGCCCTCAATCTCTACCTAACGTAACAACTAGAACAATTCTGACTTCACCTTAAGTGTTATGGCCACGTAAAACTCCACCCCACCCTCTGTCGAGAGAGTTTTGGGAATCCAATGCGGCGCAGTTTGGCTGCTGTACAGGTCAGCCCACCTGACAGTGACGTACACATTTTGTAGTATATTTGCATAACAGTCTCATAGCCCTTTTTAAATTAATCTTAATTACAATCCGAGGAGGATCCTATATTACAAATCAGAGATCATTGCGATCAGATGTGCACAAATGAAGAATTAAGCAAAAAAAGTACTATTGACAATGAAGATTACAAGCACTACATGAATACTACAACTTGTAAGCCATGCAGGATTTTTATAACTTCTGTCAATTTAACGATTGCAACCCTAAATGCTTAGATTTCTTCGTTGGCACCTTCACTATCTATTTATGATATTTAAAAAGCGGGTACAACGGTTTTTGCTGTTAGACAAATTCTATTATACTCTATTTAATTCATTAATTTACTAATTTATTGGCAGTGGCATTCTTTAATTTTGTTTTTTACGTCTTTGAACATTGTTTATATTCACAATAGTTTCATTTAACAGTTTATCTGTAGAGAAGGGGAGCAACGCCTGGCTCGGCGCTTGGTGGATTGGGTATATTATAGCAGCGTCTCTTGTGGCGATGATGATTCTCCCTATAGGTGGACTTCCGCAAGACATGCCAGGTTCTTGTCATTAAATTAACATTGGCTATATCTGAGTTTAATTTTTATCAAAGAGGATAGAACTTTGTGAAAAGACATGCTGTCGCAAAGCGTATCAGTCATTTCTTCCTTGTTTTATTTGTTCTTATTTTATTAACAATTTATTCTTAGTAGATTTGACCATTTTGCTAGTTAACGAATTTTCAGAAATATGTTATAAAGCGTCTGTATCATTTTGAC